GGGGGGGGGGGGATCGTTTGGTTAACGAACAAAAAAGCGAGGAGTTTCAGCGAGGAGTCCGTTTTTAAGCGCGGCGATTATCCGAAGCGGTTTGCCGAATGAATACGGCGCCGCTACCTGTCGCGCCGTGTTGTAACGCCGAGCAGCAGATTAAACGCTCGTCTTTTATTTCGCCTGGATTAGCCGGCCGGATTAATCACCATCGAAAAATCTCGCGTCCCGCCGTGTCCGAAAACCCCCGCCGCTTTTCGCCACCGCGCGCGCCATCCGCGGATATTTTATGATTCCGATGGCGGTGCGAGAGGTGTCCGCCCGCGAGAAAGCTCGAGTGTGCCTGCGAGAGTCAAACGCGTGGCTAATAAACTCCGGGAATGCTGAGAAACGTCGCCAATGTCGCCACCTCACGATCACCCCGGGTCACTCGGCTACCTGTATGCGCGCGCGCATCAATAGAACGGACGAAAGCCGTTACCGTTAGACGGAGTGTGCCAAAAACAACAGTAGTCCCGACTTCCCGGAAGCAGAAGAGGAATCTCGGGACGAGACCCGAGTCGACCACAAAGGGGGTGATGGATATGATGTATGTTCCTCTAATAACGCAACTCGAGCGAGGTGTGTGTGCGTCGAATCGCACGACCTTCCGACACCTTCGAATGATCAAAGACCGATCTCCGACGGCGATATTCCGTGTACCGCCGGTATCGGGGACCGGTGTTGCGATTTCTGTTCAGGAGGAGCCAAGATACACGCCTGACCTTCGTCCTTCGTTGCTCGACGTCGTAGAACATCGAAGAGACCGGTCGTTCGGTGGCCGACGCGAGGCTTGATATTATTTGATATTGTTTGTCATACACGCGTGGAAAAAAATTTGGTCGATTTGAAGCCTCGAAATTTTTGCCCTACATTGCGTCTAGTTTAATTCCGACGTTAAAGCCCGCATTCTGAACGCGCTTACAACGATGTTAGCGCGCTAACAAGTCAACTTATTAACTGTTCTGAACAGTAAATTTGCTACAAACACACGTGATTATCGATCTTTCCTAAGAGCACAGTTATCATCTACTTGTATCTTTTGTATCTTATTCCGTTTGTTTGGTTCCCGTATTATCATCTTTATTCGACCAAACTTTCTTCCTCCGTGGCAGCCCGAGTCGAAATTTTAGTTCTACTTTCAGCCTAACTTAGGTCCACGTTAAGTCTTCTCAAAGGTTTTCCATCGTGCTCCTTTGAGGCTAGAAGAAAGGGAAACATTGCCGTTTTCACGCTCGAGGACTCAATATAGAAGTGAAATTTAGACTCTGGACGTCTCAATTCCTATTTATTGCGTCCTTTGATGCTACAAATAAGAACTTACTTTCGTTTTCTTCCCCTTGAAGACTTAACGTAGACTTCGAAATTTCTCGACTCGGGAAGATACGAAATTCGCGCGCGCTGATTAACGCACATAGGTGAGGTGGCCGTCCGGTTTTCTTCGTGCGGAAAATTGAAGGAGAAGAAGACTTACCTTGCGGATACCCGGGCAAGGTATGATCCAGCGGAATGGGCTGCGCATGGCCGTGTGCAGCGAGGGTGAACGTCGTCGGCAGAGCGTGATGCGGCGCGCCCGGATGCGGGTGAGAATGAGGATGAGGATGGCTGCTGACACCCATCGGATGCGTGTGGGTGTGGTACTGAGGACTTCCGGACGGGGTGCAGGACGAGCCTGTCGCCCTCAGGTACCCCGCCATGTAGCCTGCGAGGCAAGCCAGCTCACCCGCCACCGCGGCGCGCTTATCACGCTCCCTTATCTCGCAAGTACCTCCGCCCTGCACGCCGCCCACCAGCTGTTCCCCTCCCTATGAGGGAGTACCGTTCGCTTTCTGTGTCCTCGGCGGGTCTGCTACCCTTGGTCGTCGGCACTTCTGACACGAGTCCGCCGTGAGTCGCGCGTGCTCCACCACCTGAAAAGGTGTCACCGTTCTTTTCATCACCGCCACGACGTTGATTTTTGTTTTAACGGGCCTTGAGGTGGAACAGTGAGAAATAGAAAATCGTGTTTCTTAACTCGATAGAACCGCAGCAATTCGGAATCTCTCTTAAAACCGCGAATGGGTCACTTTTGACCCATTTCTTTGTTCGCAACTATCCATGGACTTTTTTGAACTTTACGATGTTGTTCTATGATAAAGAAGGCTTCCCAGCGATGAAAATCCAAAGAAGTGGGAGAAAAGAATCTACGAGTGGGTCAAAAGTAACTATCGTTAATGGTTTTATGCATGTTTACGAGTTGAAACGATTTAATCGATCGTCTGAACGATAATTCGAATATTTATTCTCCAACGAGAGAATATCGCAGAAGAAGCTATATGTAGAAAATACTTTATATGAAAATTTTATTTTATACTTTTTACAATAGTGTGTTAGATTTCTTAGGAAAGTGGCGTGGGGGTAATTAAAAGAAACGAATTTTTAAAATGATCTACATGATAAAATATGGGTCTTTTATATTTTGCTGTTCTACAATATATCCGCACTTTCGAAAGTGTGATCAGTATATTATCACCGAGAAGCAGTCAATAGTCATTAGCGACAATAGTTATAAAGTATAGCACTGCAAATCGGTGAAATTTCAAAAGTCCATTGATAGCGGCAACTGTTTCCGTCGGATAAATCTAACTGCAGAAACAGTGAGAAAAGATATTATTTATTATTTCTTTTTTATTATCTCAATCCCATGCTTAAGACATCGTCAATGATTTTGCCTGAAATATTCTTAATTATGTTTAATTGGCTTCTCGTAAAAATTGATATCGTATTTGAAGAACACGTGATGGGATTCGAACTTGAAAACCTTTAGCTCTTGAATCTGCTACCATACGAACTACGTCAAATACGACACATAGTCATATATTTTAATTATAGTACGCGTAATGGCGATATGCAATGAATCTTTCATCGGCCAAAATCGAGGTATTAAACAAAAGAGCTAAGTAGGGAAGTGTGCATGAAAAATTAGCGAATATTCATTGATCATCGGTAAAACACTGTTCCGCCACTAGTGACGTCTTCACTGACTCAACTTAAGGGAGCAGTCCGTCGAAATCTGTGAAGGGCATTTCCGACGGTCTCCTCGTGAAACACTAGTAAGACAAACTCGCGAAGTAAGACCTCATTCCGCACCACCGAACGCCAAAAGAAAGGGGGGAACATTTACCGATTTGTCGAGATGTTGATCGTATCGCGATCAGCGTGGCTATTGCAGTGTCATTTCGAGGGAAAAGCGCCTGTTTACGGTTCTGTGGCGACAAATTCGCGTCTCTCATAAGTTATACGAACCGCACCATTCGTCACTTGTACCGCGATATCATTCGGTTCACTGCAACTACTGTATTCATCACGTCGCACGCTCCGGCGATTTCACGATTAACACTCGATTAACTCGCGACGAACACTGGCGTGCGCGATTCCGTCGGTAAATTCCGCAAGGTAAAACCCAACCCGAAGGTCTCAAGAATCCGGCCGCGGCATTCGCTCCTGCTGCGTCCTTGCCGGGCCGCGATTTTTCGCCGGTTGAGTCCCATACAATTCGGAACGGCTGACGCAGGTACCTTCCGATTTCTCGCTTTTAACTCTCTGCACTCTTAACAAGTATTGCACTTCGACGCGTTGTGTCGTTTTAACTCGTTGAAGTAACTAAATCCTCGAGTCTTCCGTGAGCTATTCGTGCACCAAATTTCGACCTGGCGTCATAGCGAGAAGAGCTCAGCTCCGCGTCAAACCCATCTCGAACCTGCGGTCGGCTCTGAATAGTTTTCCGCTCGAGGCCCTTGTGCTCGGTCCCTTTTTCGATAGGTGGGGGTGGGGACCCGGCAGCTCGGCGGCGGTGGTGGGGGAATTTCGTAAGAAATGGCCACTCGTCAGGAGAGGAGGCCCTATTGACGAGGACCTCACGTGACGGTGATTTTCGCAAAAAGCGGGCGTTATGAATCCCCGATTTTCGCCGGAGCGGGCTTTCTACGAAATCAATCGGTTATGCAACGCGATATCGCCGGGGGATCGCTTTAACGAGGTAAAGGAAAATCGTATTAATTACGCGCGGTTTACATAACCGCGGCGGCTGACGCTTCGTTAACGTCGCATGCATAACGACGGAGATGTGACGCTCGCGCGACATAATTACGCGCGACCTCGGTGGCCGGTCGTCGCTGCCGGGTTTCGCTGTCGGAATAAGGGCAGAAAAGACACACACAAGTAGTCCGGTCGGCGCTTCCGTTTGCGCGCAAAATCGCGCGGAAGTGGCGTCACAGGCGCGCGTTGGGGAAGAACCGTTTCTCAAAAAGGTCGGCTTAAGCCGCGTAAAACTTAGCTCGCCGAACGATTAAATAAACTTCGGGGCCGCGTTTTTACACGGCTGCAGCGTTACACGGGCGCGTGACGGGGGAGGAGGGGGGGAGGAGAAGAGGAGCCGGAAGGCTGGTGCACCACGTAGGTAGGTATGTTTACACGGGGGCATTATGGCGGATAATGTTTGTTATGGGCGTCTATGCCGCGGAGCCGGGAGAGGCGAGACTATCCGACGTTAAAAGGCCAGCTTGGTCGATCCGCTTACGGCGGATGAGGCTTAAATTGAGTGAGAGATAGTGAACTCTCGTGCAACGAGTACGGGCGCGAATAGCGCGCGCGTGCTGCTGTTGCTGTTGCCGCCGCTGTTGCACCAAACGCGTCTCGTGCGGTGCGTCGTGTGCGCACACATCGTTTATAATCTAAGCGACAACCTCCGTGATAATTCCGAGGGTACTCGTGTTACGCTTGGGAAAGGCAGAGGGAGAGAGAGAGAGAGAGAGAAAGAGAGAATGATAAGCGACGCGAGATAAGAAATCACGGGACTCTTTCACACTTCCGACGTATCGTGCAGGTCGCGTCGGGAAATTCGCATTTCTCGGTGGCGGTGCGAGAGAACGGAAATGACTCGTGACTCCGCGTCTTTTCGCGCGACGTCGCCACGGGAGACGCTGGGAATTGTTAGACGATGACTGTGAAATAAACTAAACATTGTGACTGTTGTGTCCCGAAAATACTACCGTTTCCCGTCCACGCTCGTCGTTTACCTGCGCGAGGCCGACGGATACATAACGTTTCAATCAAGAAATTGCTTTATACACTGCCGTGTAAGCCCACCCTTTTCTCGCCCCTTGTCGAAATTCGAAGAAGGTATTCTTCGAGTGTAAGGGGGCCGAAGATGCGTCGTAGGGGGTCACAGGGTTACGCGGACTCGGAGGAGATTCCGTGGGTACAATTCTCGCGGGGATACGTCGTCGAAACGCATGCCATTCACACGCAGAAAATTCTTGTCGAATAACAAGACGTGCCGATGGCATAATCCACCGTATTGCGCGACTGGGATATAATCATATTAAGGCCAAAACTTATTGATTTATGACGAGCGATGAACGAATAGGTGGATTGGAGGTATATTTTTAATCTGATTGTATGTAGGAGAATGTCAGAACGAAATCAACAAAGTCAATGAAATCACAGGGAGATCAGTCACAAAAAGGTTGCAACACATCTCGTATCCAATGGAGGAAAATGTATCTCCTGAGAATTACTAAAAAAAAGAAAAAAAAACAAATCCTCCCATTGGACACGGGATGCGTTTCAAAATTTATCAAACAAAGTGTCGCAACCTTTTCGCGATTGACCATACCGTGCAGCTCGCTTTCAACTGATTTCTTCCGCGCTTCAACGTCGTGACCGTCGTGATCGTGCGAGGAAGATCTGAGATCGACGGGATCCTCGCAATTCGTCTGTGAAACGAGACGATCCTACGGTTGCACGGCGCTCGATATTCGATTTCGCCAGTTTATTGGCGTAACTTCGCGCGAGTATCGCATCGGCGACGTTAAACACCTCAAAGCTCGCGAAAGCCGATTAACGTCGTCGCCGTCGGGACGATTTCGGTGAAATGCGAATACTACCGAAAAAACTTCGACATCCCCCGCTGCGAAGGGGTTGAAAGTACAGGCCGCGATCGGCCGGCGATTAAGCGACCTCGCGGACGATTCCGCATTCTTTAAAAGCGCGCCCGGCTCTCGTTGCGCTTCGTTTGTGGGTTAATCCTTTCGCTCTCTCGCAAAGAACGTGCCTCGGGTCTAATATTGTCGCCGCGATCGGTGTTTCCAAAATAATCCTCTCACGTTAATTGGATTGAAAAATGTTGACAGCCGATTTCGGCGACCTCTTCCTCCAAAGCGGACGGTAACTCGTTAATCTCGCCGGCGGCCCGTTAAGTGCAATCTGTTTCTCCTTTTCCCTCTCGTCTCAATCAATGGCGACAACAGTTAGCGCTGGCGGAATATTAAATCACTTTTGGCCTGAATTTGCCCGCTCGAATATCGATCGTTTGCTCGATTTAACATTTACCGGCGAGAGGATTCGCAGAGGATCGAGCGGGATCGGATCACGAATCAGCCTGTTTCGAAATTAATCCATTCGCGCGCTAGATACGTAATTATCACTTCATACGAATGCTGTGTGTGTGTGTGTGTGTGTGTATTGTGTAATTTAAATCATTAACTGAATTTACATACTGACGATTAGAATTGCGACGCGTCGATGTCACACAATGATGCACGATCGCCACAGTGTGTACGTGTGTATCTCACTCGGGCCAAACTCGATGCATAATACAAAGTTTTGTGTTACGAATGGTCTACCCAAGTTTTTGTATCACTTTAACAAGGTGAATATATTAATTTAATATATATATATATATATATATATATATATANTATATATATATTTGTGTACCTTTTTACGTATTCCCCATGTTAATGTAACATTAGAATTTAGGTGGATTGTAACACAAAATTTCTTACTGCGTATTGAAAAATGAGTTCGATTGAATCTATTGGACAATCAAACGTGGTTGAAGGAAGTCGAATTTCTGATTATAAGAACCAGGTTTCGTTCATGATAACCGGAAATTTTAGTAAACGAAAGAAGCCAGTGAGAGCCGGTATCTGATGTTGATGCCGATGAATTGAATTTAATGAGCTTTAATGTCCGCAATATTATAACTGCATTTCAACGGTCAAGCATTTCGATCGTATTTTTCGACACTCCTCA